TCGAAAATTAGTCTACATATCATTGAAATAACTCCATTTGGCAGATAAACCGTTTTATAGACCTGCTGTCATCCTGTGCGCTCGTAGGCACTCGTGTGGGCTAAACTGTGAAAGTCCGGATAAATGCAGCCCGGATGAAATGCGACTGACTTTGCTCGAAAAAAGCTTGAAAGCAATGTGGCTGAGTGTAAGGCTTATCTACAGCAGTGTTGGCTGAGCGGTACACAGAAACTGCGAGATGCCTCTTTCACTTTTAATAGAATTCTACGTGGGCTCAGAGCTGGATCTTGAGATTAGATCGGGTCTAGGATGAGGACGTCAGTACGTCATGCGCACTAAATCCTTCCAATTGGAGATGCGCGAGCATATATGAAAATGCGTTTCTTCAAGGGACCACCGCTAGGAGACCATTGGAAGGTATAAGGGGACATACATAATCATGGAAGACCTTACATAGGGCAAAATGAGCAAACTTGATGTTTTTGTTAACTGCTGTTATATCGCCGCAGTACGCGATGCGAAAGTCTCACAAAGATGGCGATTTATGGACAAAACTTCAGTTTCGGACGGGTCTCGAACCCGTACTTGTCCTTTCCGGGGACCGTGCTCTTATCCCTTACACCACCGAGACCCTACTTGCCCTCGCCTTCTTAATGGCTTATATGCCATAGTGAAAACGGGCAAAGTAAAACACCCGTAAGGGAATGGAGGCAACACATGGAAGTGTATCCCTCAACGGCGCGTGAGTGCATCTGGGGAAATGAGAAGGGTAACATGGTCAGCAGATGCTGCAAAAATAAGAGTAACAAGAGGTTTTCTCTCGAGTTAGAGCAACCACTATCTAGGTTTTAAGTTTACTTGTTTGCAGCATTAGTCGGTTATTGACTACAGATCACGCTCAACCGCTGAATACTTCAATTTACTGGAAAAACTATGCGTTTGGCAAATATGAAGGAGCTGCGCAGTGGACTCATGCAATGTGGTTTCACTGTTTATGCTAAGGCCCAGAGTAATCATGATCTCCAAATTTTGCCCTAGGATATTGGAAGTCCTACAGAACTAGCAAAGGAAATTCATGATGTGTTGGGTTTTAATAGTACTTTTGACTGAAAAATGCTCAGAGTGCTACCTGCTTGGGTGATACCTACCAAACGTGGGCCTACTTGAGGGTCAAGGAATAGATTGTGCCAACTGTTCCGTAGAAAAAGTAGTCTGAGCAGCGCTGGCATCCCAACTTAAACGAGTCGCAAACTCATGGATGTCAACCAGGTTAACCAGTTCGAATTGAACTTCTATCATTTTTTGTAGAAATCATGAAGAACTTTAGCGATTCTTTCTCGGACGTATTTCCCACATGATTGCAATGGTGACGAATAGTGACGGCATGATTTTGTGAAATGATGCGGGAGAGCATGCACACTTCACGATAAAAATGATTCCCCCAGGATGATGTTTGGCTACCATGTGTAGTACATGGGACAATGCTGGCAAAAAAGCGACCATAGCAAGGCGTAGTAAGGGCTCCTGAACCGAATTGGCTAGCGTACACACCCAAAAGTGGCCGTGTTATGACGGCTTCGTTGAAAGGAACCATTCATAGGGCACCGACGAATAGTACAATATGTGAGAGGCACCTAAACAGTTAAAGACGACGACGTATTCATTCAAAACCTGCATTCATTGGTCTTCTTTTCTGTTCCAACGAGACGTTTTTCATTCTCTGCACTATGCCGGTTCTATGAACTAGTGCTGCGTCCTGTGTTTTTGCCTGCTTTAACCTCTGTAACCGACTTTTTCCCTGTTGCGGCGAGTGACATCTTTCCCGATTACACATTCCTTGCCAGTTCTGTCTCCATGATCTCGTAAAGCCCTTCATTTGCTGCTTTTTTGAAGCCTCGTATTGCTTTAAATCCGACTTTTTTTTCGCCACCTTTGCTATTTTCTGCACCATAACTTCCTTTATTTCACTCAAACTAAATACGTTAAACTTATAGTGAACTGTGCTTTCAATCAGTAGTTATGCCGCAACATTTGTAGACCTTTCTTTTCTTAAATGTTCGGCAAACCCAAAATACTTGTGAGCGCCAATGGCGCGTTGACCGCAAAATTTAGGTACAGAGTTAACATGAGGTAGAGTTGTTGTTGGAAGAAGAAATGACATAGTGGGGAGAAAAAACTGCAATGCAAAAATTGTAAAGATAGTACCGAGAACAGACACGAACTAGTTGATGGGTCACCCTAGCCCCTCGACTCTGCTGGTTCTATTTATAACTACCCATAACAGTAGCATTAGGCCAGGATCGACTTACTTCCAATCTTGGCATGATATGTATTAACGATAATCCTCTTTAAGCCTTAGATTGAACACAATTCATTTGGCCAACGTTTCGGCTGCTTCGCCTTCTTCAGGGCCTGAAGTAGTGCAAAGCATTGCGTGGCATGCTCGCCCAAAGCCTCAACAAAACTCCAGCAAAACCTCAAATAGACCAGCCGAAACGTTGTCCAAATAAATTGTGTTCAATCTTGAAAGGCTTAAAAAGGATTATCGTTAGTAGCATTAGGATAACTGCTCCACCTATCGCCCTCGTCCTTGCCTAAGGTTTCCTGGATACGTTATATGAGTGATACAAATGGTAAGGCAGTCCTCTAGACGTGCTGTTGGTGCGCAATTTAGGACTGCTACCGTAGATGAAAATGAATGCGATCCAATACTATTCAGTACTCGCAAGTGGCGATGACTAAGAACACCTGGGATAAAGGTTAAACGGGTCTACAATGATTCTAATTTCGAACTCTCATTTGACATGTCTCGTGACTGTTATTAGTGGCGACAAAAGAAGCCAATTCGTACGATATATGTAGATGTAATGGAAAGTAATGCATATCAGAACACTATCATACTTGTCATTATTAATAACACTGGTGGGAGTGGAATTTTTGTTCGATCTTTGACATCGACTGGTACTGTAAATACCGTATATTGAGAGGATTCCAGCGACATAAATTCACGATTACGCGTTGGTAGCGGCCGCTGTGCATAATCACGTCCCCACGTTCATTTGATCCAAAGGCGCTAAGAATTTGATTTCAGTATGAAGTGTTGAAGTTGCTGCCGGGGGAGTAGTTTCTAGCAATTATTGATCGAAAGCACGTTTCCAGGTTTATCCAGCGAAGGCGTTTTTGTCCAAAAATTATGCTTTTTATTACAATTTCAAGAAAATTTTGAGGGCATGAGCAAAAAGAATATATTGAAAGTAAAGGAGCATTTCAAAAGTGTTTGACAGCTTGAAAGCGCGTTCAAACAATCATTGCAATCATGTGAGTCATTTGAGGCAATGTGCTTTGTCTCTTACAGCTCAGAATTGATCATTGATTCAGATTTTCCTATTTCATGACACCAATGCGATTTATTGACATGAATGCTCTGCTATAAGACATTGTCACCCTATGATTCAGCTAAATAAAGGGAAACACAAGCAGCCTTTCAGCCGTGAACGAAGTTGAAGGACCATAGTCTGAAATCGCTTTAACACTCCATATTTAGACTGATCCCAAAATGCGAAATGGGAAGGAAATTTGTCCGGCTTTTTAATTAAGAAAGTGCAAAAACATACCCGTCATATATGTATATGTGAAACAAACAGCGTTCAAGCTTCTGGAAGTTTCTAGAAGAAGCGTCCGAAAAAACTATTGATAAAAATGACTATCACTTTATAACAACCCAGTCGAATAATGATGCAACCATGGGTCAAGATGACAAAGTCCCAACAGCTTTGTCATAGCCGAACTATCGATTTCTAGTGAAGTTTGTGCTTGCTTATTAATGCATTCTGCACATATAAAGTCCAAAACTCGTCAAGAAAAAAAAAATCAGATTCTTCGCTTACATAGTGCCTTTTGTCACAACGTGGAAGCGACCTCAAAAGTTGTAATGACAGCACACGTGAACACTGGTTCACAATTTTCTAAGCACTTTCCACTTCAAGGTAGGTTGACCAGTATGCATAGAAAACAATCTTTCGCTGATTCACTTACACCTCATGATAGTGTCTGCGATTTGCACTTCGAACGCAAAGAAGACGGCCCATTCATGAGGCTAATGGGGGCTGTAGATGAGATCGAGAACGTCGAGGAAAATCTTACTCACAGACTGAACCTGCTCGGAAGAGATCTTAAACTGACCTTCATCAAAAGAAGGGTGGCGCTATCAACTTGATGGGATTATAAGGGTGTGATGAAGTGTGAAGTGCTTCCAAGGAGAAAGAATATTGTTTTGGACCTCCACTAATTAAAACCTAGTGAAGCAATCGGAGTAGCCCTCCAAGTAAAGCGAGTTGCAAAGTGTTGAACAAAGAGACCGCTAGACCGCATATATTTTTGGTTACTCGGCAAAATTATTGAAGCATGAGCGGAGACTAATGCTGGGTCCACCATATAGCCCTGATCTCGCGCCATCCAATAACCACTTATTCCAGCTCTTCCACGTCTCCTCGAATGAGGAAACCTTCCTCGATGATGATGATATCATGGTCCAATTTTTGGCCAAAAAACCTGAAGTTCTGTGAGAGACGAGTTCTGAAATTACCGGAAAGATGACAAAAAATAATCAAAAAATTGCTTATATCAATAATTAAGGTTTAATTGATAAAAAAAACGCTCTTTTTTGAAAGTTCAGAAGTATTAGTCACTCTATAACAAACCTTATGTAATATTGAGACCAGCGTTTTTTTTGTGTTAAGATTTTATCGAAATCTTCTGTAGTTAAGCAGTGATCGCCAATTCATTCAAATTCTTCTTCGCTCATTCACTTTTCCTCATCACAAGTGGTGTTTGTAGTTCTCGAATTCAGCACTCATACACAACCTTTGAAATACTCGTTTATTGTGTAGTTCTCATTTTGCGATAGGCAGTGCCTAAAGCTCCATTCCGTGCCCTATCGTTGTGCTTCCGAGCGACTATTCTGAGATCTCTTCACAATAACATTTTCAGATAGCTGGGTGATGCGAATAGATGGTATGCGAGCGGCCGGGATAGCACGCCTCAGTCAGTCGGTACGTTATGATTAAGCAATTGCTTACAAATACTTGTTGTTATGAATTCATACGTGTTTTATGATATAGAGGACGTTTGCTCTCTAGTTCCGAGCTAGTCGTCGTAGTGTCTAGTTGACTTCAGTACCTGGCTTCAGTACTTCTCTTATGCTTGATATTCGATAGGGAGTTTCAGTTGGTCTGATAAATTACACCCTCTTAGTTAGTTTACTTCCTTTAAATAGCAATGTATGAAGAAATGGATGAAGGCAAATGAGTAACCCGTGTCTTATGTGAGTTCCAAGTGCTTTTTCGAACTCTAGACGAGAAATAGAGAATAAGAAAAAAAATGATCTGTGTCTGAGTTAGTAAAATTGAAGCAGAGGGTTGATATAGCTGACACCCTGCAAAGGCATCAGCCTCAGCAGAGGAGCTCCTCTGAGAGATCTGCCCGGTGCAGTATAGTACATAGTCGCGATGTCAAGAAACCATCTCACTAATCGAAACAGCAGCGGGGTGTATTTGTCTATCACGAAACTCAGATTCACTTCAGCGAACCCTTGGATAGGTCGAGTTAAGGTGAAAAATCATTACTTTGTCAAGAAACGTTCTAGACCCTGGAAAATTGGTGAGGGACTACTAGAGGAATCAGGCTAGATCCTTAAGGTGAGAGGTGCTAAACAAATTGATCTCACAGCACTGACGTTAGTCTCTTATCGTTGCTCATCATTTCTGCTTACACTTCTATCTTATCATGCTAAATACAAATCGCCAAGTGTCTCTGTTGGACTTTTCATGTGTTTGTTTCTGGGTGTCCGTGATTGGCCAAAACTCTATCATTCGAGCGCTAAACATGCCTCACGATCAGCATTGTTCACATTTACCGATGAGCTGCAGCTTACTTGGAACAGCGTGATGATAAACTCTGAGAGGAGTCGGAGCCCTCTAAATATTGTTCAACAACTTTGAGAAACAAGCCGATACAGATGTATCCTGTGCGAGTTTCAATAGACGTGAAAGGGTGCGTCACTAGCCCAGACCGCCAAAATAAATGGAATGGATATGAGACAACTAGTCAGCATATTATTATTCAAGAGTGCGTCAAAGGGGATAAAGGTGGCATTACCTCTGAAAAGCATCAAACAGATGCGGGTCAGAAGCAGCTAAATGGACCTGAAAATATTGACTATGACCACAGAAGACTGGGTTGGCACACTGCAGACCAGCAAGGTCCTGCCGTTATGCCTGTGAAGAACCGATTCCGCTAGTTTTAGTGCGAGTATTGGGCAATAATCTAAGGTTGGCAACGGGACAAGGAAAGGATGTATATAGACCTTGTCACCTTTACGATGTTCATTGCTTGATGTTGAGTGTGTCCTGAGATGAATTTTCGCGTTTCTCGCACGTGAGTGCCTTTTATGAAACCTGCGTTTCTGCTGTTCAATTTCAAAGGACAGCTGGCATCATCAATATACCAAATCGCCCCTAGAAGTTAACAGATCCAATGCCGATACTAGTTGATTAACTAACTCATTGCGTGTACGTAGGGGTGCTGGCTTGGTCAGACTTGAAAGCCATCAAGAAGGCGAGGGCAAGCATAGTTAAAGCATGAAGAGCACCGTGTATGAGTATAGTCTGAGTTCTGCTAGGAACGTAAGTCAGATTCCCCCTTTCTAAGGAACACCTATGAGATATATCTAGGTTTTCACTTACACCCGAACTTATCGCGCATAACGTCTCAAGGCTCTACCTTCTCGATCTAAACCAGTGGAATGATCCATTTAGGTACTGAGCAAACCCGAAAAAGGTCAAGATAACTGTTCTGTTAAGCTGACTGTATTTTTGTATTTCAGAGTTGGTACGTTACGTTCGATTGTCGACCCCGAGCTGTCGTTCTGCATTTGCTACTTCTTTTGTTATTAATACCGGCCGCTAATTCGCTAACTTACTTTGTTGGAAGTGAGTTTTATTATCGTGGAGTCTTTCAAGAATGACTTCTTCATTATGCTCAGAGATATTAGCAGAGATTCATTTGAGATACGAGGTGGATTCGAAAAATCATGACAAATTTTCGTTAACCAGATCTCAGCCATAGAATATACGTTTTTCTTTCGAAATTCTCGAATTGTGCTTCCCGATTCCCTCCCTCCAAAGGTAACCTAGGGGTTGAGGAGGAAATTCGCGTGTATTGCATCCGAAATGTCCCAGGTTATGTAGATCTGCGCTCTTTAGGAGTCCAAAAATGCATCTGTGAGCTTCTTTCAAGGACCTCGTTAAATATTTATTCGTGTGGGATACCTCTCAATGCTAATTGTGCAAATCATGTCTTCTTAAGTAAAAATTTTAAGGACATTCGGCAAAGGTTTGGGCCGTTTTTCATACCAAGACAATGTGCGGCGTATCTCAGAATTTGTGGATGGGTTCCCCTATTCTCATAAGACAATATGTATCGAATGACAGCAATTGAAAAATTTGGTCGAGCGGTTTCAGCGATTCGACCCGGACCTATCAGCGAAAGATCACCCGTTTGTTGAGAGCTGTCCCAGATACTCACAGGTCTGATACATAAGCAGCTTCAACTGGATATTCTCGGCTCTTTGATCTGCTCTATGCTGCACGATAGACTGTGAAGCCCAATTTGAACAAAGGCTGCCGATAGCACAGGATTTCACAAGCACCTGTGATGTGAACGGATATTTTAAGAAATTGAGTATTAAAAAATGCTAAAATTGAAAAATTAGCCTTTTTAATCAATTTTACTTGAGAATAACTCCCCAAAGGAAAGCATCACAATAGTCTCCGCCAACCTTACAAGTAGGAAGGTTGAATAGTGAAATAAACCAAAAAAAACTAAACTAAAAAATAAAAACCTGATGGGCTTCGCTCTCATCGCTCATAAGCGAAAAACTATCAAGAGTTTCAAAGTGAATTTCATTCTCTGGCGCATCACCCCCAACTCTTCAGTGGATGTCGAATGAGGGGCTTCTCCCAGGCGGGAATCATGACCGAATCTTGACAATTTATCCTTCATAGTTAATATCCAGTTTGCTGAATGAACTACTCTGAATCTGTAGTCCTTTCACCGTAGGTGGGGAGCCTCTCTAAAACTACACATTAGATATCTCACTGTCTCAACAGCAGACTCTTGCTAATGTTCTTTATCAGCTTTTGCAGCTTCGGTGAAACAAATGGGCCCTGCTGATGTGACACAAAAGGAGCCGTTCCTTTCAAAAGACGACAAACAGACGATCGTCATGTTCTGCCGTGCTGCACTTTCCAGTTCGCTTAGTGTACGAATTTTCCGTAATGTAATGGAAATACTGCTTTGTAACGGTGTAATACTGCACTTCGTATGTGTGTGAAAGCCATTTTAGCGTGAGAAAATCAAGGACCCGTTGGAGCTGCGACGAATCTGTGGCACTCTGATCCGGGAATTCAAGCGGCAACGAGAAATCGAGGAGGAGACGCAGTCTTTATTCTGAAGTGAGAACCGATTACTGTCTCCATGTGTGGATGCATTTCACCTATATCGAGATTTGTTTCAGATTGTTATCTCGTACTGTTGGTTCTCCCTCTCTGAAATGGACATACACACACTTCTGCAGGATCTGATCACATCCAAATCAAATGCATTCCATAGCTCGACGTTCAATGAATAAATATTATTCGTGTTTATTGTGTAAACTGTTCAGACCCATGTTCAGACCAGGATTCTCTCATTTCGGTGGAAAATCTAGTAGGCCAAATGCATCAGTATCTTTCATAACAGAACTTCCGAGGAGGGGGAATACCCTGAGGGGAAACTTAGATGGGCATTACAACCTTGAGTTTGACAAACTAGTAAAATATGACGAAATAATAAAATACGACATAATAAAATAATAATAAAATGAAAATAAAAACTGGGCATTGAAAGTGCTAGTCAATGTCGAATACGCATGTGAGGGTCGTTCTGTGGGTTCTGATTTTCGTGAAAATTAATCAAACCCAGAAAATTCGTTTCATACGTTCCGTTGTAAGAGAGCAGCATACCTGGTAGGCCGAACTTTGAACAGAATTCGAGTTCCAAGCCTCAGAAAAGGCGGAGCCCTTTGCAAAACACTCGAGGTTTTGGAACCTCATCTCATTTTACTTCCGCCCAGAATCGTGGTGGTGTTTTGAATCACTACGTGGCCTATATAGGAACTTGCGATGGTCAGCCATGTACGATCCAAAGCATTCATAACCTGTGAAATTTTTCAGATGTAGGAAGTCAAGGAAGTTTGCAGCACGTGGTGTCAAAATGGTTGGATAACATGATTATTCTTTGAGCCTTTAGTACTCGAACGCTGTGGTATTATTCCATGTACGGCTTTCTATGAACCTCGGCATGATTATATTACTGAGTTTGTTGTTGTCTTGAACTCTTCACGAGGTTTTTAAATAACCTTTATTAGGCTGACGTTTCGGCGGAATCGGCTTCTTCAGAGCCTNACGTCTTCATTAAAGTCTGTGAGGGAAGGCCAATCTTATATAAGGCCGTAGCTCCCGCGTGATTGCGAGGCATTCTTCCCTACGATTCATTTTGGGATCGGTGACCTGTATCCAAAATGCCTCGAGGGTTTTACGCGCGCACACGTGCGACTTCTGTGCTACGACCTCCACTATGACCTCAAAATCGCCTCCGTTATGCTTCTGAATTCGGTGGTTCTCTAAGGCCAAGAAAGACTTCAAAGTTGTGGTTTTAGGTTATTCTTGAAGTCTTGGAACACTTGGATGCAGGTTTCAGATTTTTTACGATTTCATTGAAGCTTTCACTGATATTAGTGTATGATCACGATTACTATCATTACACAGCATTCATGTCCGAGGGTAGCAAAGGTCTTTATACAATGGTACGCGTAAACACTGAAGTAGCAAGGCTAATGTAAGCTGTTAATACGAGGAGGAAAGGGCTCCAGTGGTTCTTACACTCCACTTTTATCCTTCCTTATCAATAGTGACTAGTTCTTGTCATGACTATCCGAGACCACCAAACATCCCGTTCCAGAGCGTCAGGATTCCACAACTGTCACAAAAAGCGCAGTGGGAGCAGTGGTTCTGGCTTTCCAAGGATTCCTGCATACGATTTTGATGGCCACGTTGCTGGTGAACGAAGAAGATTCGAAAGAATTTGCGGAGGCAGGGAAATAGGAGTCAGGAACGAAGAAGGAGAAAGAGTACTCGACCTGGCGACAGCCCACGACTTCGCGGCATGCAGCACCTTCTAAGCGAAAAGAAAGGCTTAGAGGCTAACTTACAGCAGCGCAGGGAAAAAAGCAGAAATAGACCACATGCTAGTAAAAAGGTCATCCCACGAAACTATAAAAGACATAAAAAAACTGTCTGGCGAAGATCTGGCTCCACAGCGCAGGCCTCTCCACGCAGATATAGCCATTGATCTTCCCAAGGAATCATGGACAAGAACGGAAGGGAGGATCTGGTGGTTGAAGCTGCACCGAGTCGAAAGAAAACACATCAAAAAAAAGATAATTGAATCTGGAACGATATGAAAGGGAAACGGTGGGGGAAAATCGAGGTGGATTCCGCAGGGACAAAGAAGCATGGTTCTGGAACTACAAGTCCGGCGAGTCGAAAAGGAGCCTACAAGCGCTGGCAAAGAACACAAGCTCCAGAAGACCTAGCTGCCTACAAAACTTCCAAGAGATTCTCCAAGGCTGCTGTAACGAAGGCAAAGAATAGGAAAACGCCTCGTATGAGAAACTCGATGGTCGAGAAGGAGAGAAGTTCGTCTTCCGGGTGCGAAATTGCGTCACTGAGTTACTCAGATAACGGGTCAGTGAAGCTCGTTCGAAACAGCGAGGATGCAGTCCTGAGGAAGCAATCCTGAGGAAGCCTGCTCAGGTCAGGAGGAAAGAATACTTCGACAGGCTCCTAAATGAAGAATTCGCCCGTGAGAACAGCTTCCAATCAATCCAGGATTGGGGAAATTAGAAGCAACGGCTGACCCCATCAAACTCTGGACAGAGGATGAGGTACGTAGAGCAGTAGGAAATATGAAGGCTCGGAAGGCAACTGGTTCGGATGGGGTACCGATCGAGGGAAGGAATTCGCTCGGAGAGCACAGAATAAAGTTGCTCACCAAATTCCTAAACACTACGACCACTAAAGGACGAATCAAAGAGGCGAGGATGAGCAGTATTATCGTTCCCATCTTCAAGCAGAAGGAGAACGAGATGGAGAGTTCCAACTACCGGGCGATCAGCTGGCTGCTCACCGATGTAATTGCACTAGCGGCTGGTCGACTCAAGATTGAAAGAATTAGTCTCAATATAACAGGAGCAGTTCGCTTTCATCCCTGGAAGATCTACAATGGATGCCATCTTCATAGCTAGACAAGTAATGGAGAAGCGTCGAAGGAAGTGGAGACCTTGCTACCTAGCCTTTCTCGATCTGCAGAAGGCATTCGACCATCTCCCGCGACAAGTCCTCTGGAGAGCGCTCCGAAAACGGAAAGTTCCAGAACATATGATCACTCTGGTCAAGGACATGTACGATGATGGCTTCATGAGAACATTACGCACCCCATACGGCCAAACTGGATGTCATACACCAGGGATAAGCTCTAGGCCCTCTCTTCTTCCTGCTTACAATAGATTTTCACAGAAGCACTCAGAGGTGGACCACTGACCATTCTCTACGCTGATGACACTGTTCTGTTGCGGATAGCAAAGAAGAAATTCACAACAATCTGCAGAAGTGGCAGAAAGAACTACGGAGATATTAAGCTTTGTCTGTACCTGAATAGGATTGGGTTCATCAGCTCCGCGGAGTGCACACAGTCAATCGTAGACGGTCTCGAGGAAACCGTCGACATCGCACAAGAATTCCGGTTCTTGGAGAGCGAGCTAGCTGGTAATGGTAGAGTGGAAGAGGCTGTGAAATCCCGAATAGATGCGGCATGGATTAAGTGAAGGGAGTTTACCTTTAGTATCCTCTGCGACAGTAGGACAGCGCTCCAGGAAAAACGCTCTAAGGAAAGGCTTGTCGGTTTGTGCTAGCGAGTAATACCCATGAAAGACATCTCCATTCCGCTAAAATGAGAATGTTTAGATGAACCTGCGGTTGGACGCGGCTGGAAATAAGGATATCCGGCGGCAATGCAAACAGCTCCTGTCCAGCTGAAGTTGGGAGAGCGGCTTCTGCGATGGTTCGAGCATTTACCAACAAGACCACCCAAAAATCATCCGATAGGAAAGACAATATAGAGTTCGAGGCTCAAAGTAAGCGACCACTAGGAGCCCCAAAGAAGAGATAACTGGACTTGATCAGTAAGGGCCTGTCAAAGCCAAGATAATGGCAGAAGATGCCGTAGATAGAAAGAACTGGAGACAGCTGACGAGAGCAGCGGTGAAATTTCAACATGCACTCAACAACATAAACATAGAAACAAACATATACTTATATACACCCATACACATATGAACGCACATAAACTCAGACAAACATCGACAAACATGCATACACACCCCTTCCCTTTTCTTCTCCCCTCCCCCTCCCCATACATGCATACACGCATACACATCCGAACATACATGCTTACGTACACTCACACAAGTACACGCTTGCATATATGCAAACACATGCTCGAATACATATACACGTACACATACACACAAACGCACCGAAAAAGACGTATCGAGTAGAATGCCAGTTGAAGCATGGGGTGCATAATCAGCTTGTGAGACATCGTAGTAGTTCAAAGTGAAGAAACGAGAGGAGGAATGTTTCTAAGAGTTCTTTTTGTGACATCTACCTTTAGGTTCGTTGAAAAAGAGCTTGACAATAACACATGGGCAGCTAAGCGTAGACTATGACTTTTCAACCCGAAAACGATAGAGGCACTGCCAGGTTTACGAAGCGCATCGATGCAAGTTGAAGAATCAGCGATTTTTTCGAGCTAAGCGATCAGCGATTTTTTCGAGCTAAGCGCTCGACACCACTACTGTTGCTTCATCGAAGATTCCTCCGGCGTTAGCATACAAATTCTGCTTTTCAAATAGCCATCGATTGATGATGATGTGGTCATAAGCGGTCGCTCGTTGCTGGCAGTGTGCTTCAATTCAGCTGTCTCCTGCCATTGTTCCACACATCCAGAACAGTCCTTTTTCTATTCATATGTATCATGTTTCCAAGTTTCTAACTGAAGGCTTTCCCAGATGGTGTCGTTGGGCTCGCTCCAGGAAGAGGACTTGGATGAAATTCGTATAGACTTCCCTACGGATCTCCGGTAGGTTTGTTAACTGTTCATCAAGTATGCATTCCATGGTTTAGATATGCTTAGAATGAAAATAGAAATAAAGTAATCTATTCTACAGTTCATTTGCTGAGTGTTCCAGAAGAGGGATAGGACTTCTTGATGAAAACTTGCTTGCTTGCACTAACTTTGCTTTGCTGCTGCAATTTCAATTTCATCAAACCTTATCCCATCAATTTTTGATCC